TTTTTGCATGTTTCTTTTTACCTTAATCAGAAGGTTATTTTTTAAAATTATATTAAACTAAAAAACATAATTATTTATTATACGAATATATTGCGAAATTGCTATCTATACTTCGCATTTGGAAAAAATCAGTATACATATATAAGATATACAATACTATATTATATATGATATATACTGCATATAAGGGAGCCAAAGATCAGCTCCTCATATATTTCCCTAATCTTGTTAATTCTCCCAGTAATTTCTTCCAGTGTAACTGTCGACTTCTATACATTTTACTCATCTATCACCACGCGCCAAGTGTCGTGTCTTATTTTGTTTTCGGTTCACTTTCCGTTTTGGAAAAACTTTAATTGAAGCTAATTGTAGCCGATGCCTATGTCCGTCCCTCTGTCTGTCTATACAGGCATACCTACATACATACATATGTATTTTGATCTGTCTAGCTATATCAGTTAACTATGCAGCTCTGTTTGTTTTGGCTGGCATCGCTTGAACTCTGATCCGAGTGGGTCGGATCAGAAGTGTGGCTCTTCTTAGGAGCTCCTCAGACAACCGCCTTTGGCCCCTTAATGAGGAAACATGAAAATAATGCATCAATTTAATTAATATAGGCGTCAATTGAGCAGCATCTGCGGCTCAGTTGACAGTTCTCAGTTTCTGGAGTTACTTGGGTCAAAGAAAGTTTAAAGAGATTTTGTAAAATCTTAAAGATTTGATGATGGGGGATGTCAGATGTCAGTTGAAGGGGTTTGAACAGATTGCAGAAACAGTTATGAAAAGCAGTTGTAGTGGGATTTGAAAATAATTATTAGGGAATATTTATGTGAGTTGGACCATTTGGATTTGAGTAAGAAGAATGTAGAGTTTATGGATGCAATGAAATTAAATATATTTGAAATCAATATAATATATATCATTGATAGTTTGCTCAATAATAAATGAGCTTTAATTAAACAGATCAAATATTAAAATAGGTTGGAATATATTTTATATATTGTGCTATATAATATATGTATTAAAATATGTCAGATGTAAATTCCATTGAACTAATAAATGTTCGATGTTTTAGCTAACTAACCCATAAAAAACCCATTAATCTCTATATGGCATATACATATATACACGATACATAATATTGAGCTTTGTATATATGTACGTCTAGCATATTTTATATAAGTTAAGCTAGCTAGTTTTCCAAACCTTTTTATGATGTTGAAATCAGCTCAAAAGAATTTGAAACAAATATTATGATTAATATACATTATTATTAATTTAAATGTTAACATTAAGCTTGTTAGCAAATTGTTTTTGTGAAAGACTTAGGGCTTAGTCGCACTTATCTATATGGCTGAACGGTTTATAGAATCCTGACAGCATTAATGCAATTATTTACGGCACTAAAATTTATTTAAAATTTATATTAATTATCAAACAGCATCCTTGACCTATATATGCTCTGCTAATAAAATAAGTATATGTAGATATATGATTATATACATATTTAAAAATATATACATATTAAAGTGTCTAATAATAATTGGAATATTTATTTAAATTCATATAGAGTTTTTCATTTAAACCTTCCAATTATCAGGCACCCATTAAAAGACCCTCTGCACTTTTCCATGTTTATAATCATTTAGTTATCTTATTAGTTATCTAGTTAACACCCACACTAATTACCGTTATTAGTTATCTCCTTGGTCGCTTGAATCTTTTCAATTAAATTCTCTAAACGCGAACTGGGACCGCGATACAACATCTTTAAGGCCATCATGGCATTGTCAGCAAGCAATCAATCAATCAATCAGTTGATCAATCAATCAAATTGATTTCAGAAACAAACACAATTCACACTAAACATTTATCACTAAGAACTTTGAAGCTGCTCCATAGGAATTTGCGGTATGCTTTGTTGCCTTTCGCTATTCGCTTGATTAAAATTACAAATTTTGTTATTCAATTAACGCGCGCGACACCAAAGGATCGCAACGGTTGTTGTTGTTGTTGTTGTTTAAGATGTTGGCGCGACAATGAGGACGTCCTAATGCCGCGAGCACCAAAATGTGACTAAATCAGAGCCAAGAGCCAAGCGCCGTAGGAAACCCGAAACAGTAAACGCCGTCGCTGTCGACGCCGTCGTCGTCGCAGCAGCCAAAAGCAACGGGCGTCAACGCCTATTCAACCAACAGCAGCAGCAACAACAACAACAACAACGACAACGACAGCAATAAATGCGAGCACTTGGCGAACCAGTTGGTTGCCCAGCGCATGCGTGTCTGTGTGAGTGTGTGTGCGCTTGCATGTGTTGGTGCGTGTGCGGCCTGCCTTTTGGGATTCTCGCACCAAGCGCGCGGCGTCGGCGTCGCTGCTGCGCTGCCAGCAAATGAGAAGCAACAAAGCAAAGCATTAAATGGCGCCCCATACAGAAGCGCACACACACGAACACACGCTAACGGAAGCCGAAACGCAGCCATGCGTGAGCGAGCGAGCGCAACCCAGCACACAGAGAGAGAGCAAGAGCGTCAATGTGTATGTTTGGGCATATGTGTTGGTGTGTGTGTGTGCTGCCTATGTACAGCCAGTCAAAAGGCGGAGCATGGGAGCCCCTATGGTGCGACTGTCACATTGGGCGTTCATTTAGCTTATGGGCGCGGGAGAGCGAGAGAGCGGGTGAGCGCGCACATACTTTGTTAATTTGCTGTGGAAGGGGAGGTAGCTGTACATTTTGATATATATATATTTCTTATTTATGTGGAAAAAAACGACGAACGAAGTTGAGGCCGCAAAGAAATATGCAAATTAGACAAAATGTCAGGTGTTGAAGCTTTTGGAAAGTTTTTATTTTTATTTTAACTGCTATTGTGTTTTGTGCTTCTTCTTCTTCTGCTCGGTTTCTATTTGCGTTGGTCGACTCTGTCGGCAGGTAAAATTAAAAAAAAGGTTTCTAATTTTGTTGTAAGCTTAGATATTGCGTTGGTTTTCTAAGAGGATATTGCCTAGATTAAAGGATTAAATTAATTAAAGTATTAAATATTTTACAATTTATTATTTATGAGTGAGTCATGTAAATATACCCGAGCCATTATTATACTTAATTAAT